GACTAGAGTTGACTAAAAAGCAAAAAGATAACGCTTTTTTAAGATATGATGATCTCTGAGATTTTTAGAAGAATTTGGAGTGGGGATGTCTTATTTATAATTAACACAATCATTTTAATATTATTGATTATTTACCAATAATAATCAAAGTTATAACAACAATAATACTGAATAGTATTGCGTGTTTACCGTTCATTGTTTTCGATTTAATCCACACACACACACACACACACACACACACACACACACATGGTTTGAGGGGGCCAAAGCCAAAGCAATTTACGATGATTGATGCGACTACGAGAGACCAGTTTTGGTCGAGACAGTGAGACGAGAAGATTTTACACATTTTTAAGGGGTTATTCAAGCTTCAAGATCTACCTCATTTGCACGTCCAAGGTCTTTAAAAAAAAAATTCGAAGAGTTGTTTTTTTTAGCTGTTTGAAGTAATTAGTGGACAGGTGGTCAACCAAAATGTTTGCCTTTCAAAAATGTTGAGTTCGCCACGCCACTGAATGTTTGTGTTCGTAAATTGCGAACACGAAATAGGTGTACAGACTATAGATATTATATTATAGGCATATGTTTGTGTATGCGCATACGCATAATGTTAGGATATTAAAATATATTATACCTAGAATATCGTTACGACGCGTCGTCGCCGTTTCCGTGGAACCGCGGCGATATTGGCTATGGTTATAAACATTATTATAATAATAGTACACAATAGCGTGCGTATATATTTATTGGAAATCCGTGCGAAAATTGATATTTTTTCGAAATCGTGCGTACGATGTTACTCGTCGTATTATAATAATGTAGGTATTATGGGTATTATAGGTGTACACACACACACACACACACACACACACACACACACACACACACTTTCGCCGTGTACCTATATCGTACCCGCGGAAACACGCGTTTATAACGTACCTACGCGATATTCCAACGCAGCGTTTTATGAATGGAAATCTCACGAAACGATAATAATAACAATAATAATACATACACCCCCCTCCCAGCCGTGTGCACGCCACACAATAATATTATTATATTGTTATTGTATATATGGAATCCTTGACGACGACGACGACGACGACGCATACCCAAAACGGGCCGTCCGTTTTTATTGCGTTGCTCCGACGATAAACGATACTCTAATAATATAATAAAACATAATATCGTGCGCGTATTACCCGCCGCGTCGTTTTCTATGCGACTCGTGCGTGAATGAAAAACACGATATTGTTACGTTATTATCTAGTAGTGCGCTGACATTCGATACGAATTACTGCAAAATAGGTATACAATACGAGAAATAGATAATAATGCAATAAATTATTATACATTATGTACAATACAATATTATTGTGATGCGCCGATTGTCCGGTTCGGTGAATTTAATCAACTCGCTGTCCAACAGCTAATGACAACGTGAAAATTAGAGCTTCGGATTTAACGTGCTAATAACCTGTGGTCCTCAACGAGGGCGATAACGACACCGTCGGCGGCGGGTGGGCGGACGGTGGCAGGGAGGAGAGTGATGTAGTGGTCGCGCGGAGACGGTAAACTTGTTTCGAACAGATTGGGGGGGCGGTGCTTATATGTTTCGAGCGCGTGCTTTCCCGTAAAACGATATTAAGTTCTTTTCCAGTTGTTCGTTCGATTTTTTTTATTTTTTGATTTTTTCAATAAGGAACGCTTTTAAAGTGTATCGTTTTTATCATTTTATCGGTTATTTAAATTTTTTAGACTCGGAACACGGCGAGTGATCTATTGGTTTTACTATGATGTATGTTTTGATTATCATTACAATGGATGGCGTTATCGTTTTATTATTTTCAATTTTGTTTTTTTGTTGTAATCCAGATCAAAAAATATTCGCAGATACTTGACATTTTGACAGAAATCAATATTTGTCTTTTCTAGACGTGGTAAAATATTCAAAACATTTTAGTGATGTTGTGCTATTTATAGGCATTTCATGTTTACGTGGTTTTTACGTAGTTTTTATTTGGTAGGTATGTGAATATAATTGTTTATTATTATTTTAATTTAAATTTTCTTTTTTTAGTGGAGACTTTTTTTATATATATCAATATTTCGTACTACAAATTAATTTATAATTTAAACTCGATGTTTAAACCTTTTGGCATTTCGACCGTCGGAGTTTCGTATCAGACAATTCCAGGGCCAACTTTTGTGTGTAATACTAAATTTGTTGTGTGTAGTACGGAATTATTAAATGTCTTAAGTCTTATAAAAAATATACCTAAAATATGTTTTGTTGTTATAGTATTTTTTAATTAGTTAACAAATTTAGAATAAGTATATCAAAGATATATACTATAAAGAGATACTTTCCAATAAGCGTCATCTTCTCTCTTCTAATAATATTCCTTTTTCATTCCCTCATATTTTCCAATCTTCCAATGTTCCTCTTATCCATTCAATAATTATTTTCTTTTCCTCTGTAGGCTTTATTTTATAATTGTTTGTACTACTTTGTATTGTTATTTTTATAGTCGCTGAGGTGTATATGTTCATTACACCTCTCAAATAAATAATAATAATGAAAAAAAATATAATGTCCATGAAAAAACTCGAAATTTACCGTTTTTGAAATTTGTAGCAATTTTAGTATATTATAATTTAAATAAGTATATGTATAAATAAAAATTATTTTATAATAAAGAATCGTCTTCTCTACCCAAATTAGCAAATTTAAAAAACCAGAAGTAAAAAATTCAATTTTTAATCAATAAATCAAACTTTTCCTCGTAACTTTGCTATAGTAAACATTCCACGATTAAATTTCTAAATAAGTATTCATATTGTTGCTGTGTTTTTAAACTAATGCGGGGTATATATAACCCCGAGTTCCCCCCCTCCACGCCCACGTAACTAAATGAGTATAATATGATAATTCGGTGGAGGATTTCTTATTGAAATATTATATGACCGCGCGACACGTGGTTACCGTGAAAACGAATTGTTTTGAATAAATAATTTTGTCGTGATAAAATTACACATTATAATACATACCTACCGACCACAAGAGACGACAACGACGTTGACGAAATTCTAATGTGCGCGCAGGCAAAACCATAATAATACCATACATTTCTTATAAGTCGTATACACACGAACACACGTGTGAACTAAATTTTTTTTTCCTCAGCCACGTGTATAAGTATATAATTGAACGTAAAATAATTAATAATAGTACATGTAAAAGCCGACAACAACGCCGAAGAACGTCGAATGTTGTACATACACACATACCACTATATAGATACAATATAATAGTATGATAATGTGCACGGTAAATAAACGACACGACCTACAATATTGTAACTATTATTATTATAATAATAATAGTAACACATGTGTGTTTGTGTGGAGAACGGTGAAAACCGTTTTTGTCGTTAATTTTTGTTTTCGTGTGCATAGAAAAAATTTTTTTGCGAGTACGTGTGCAGTTTTTTTTTTTATTATTCGGTCTACTACGTATACAAAACATTACACCTAGTATGTACTGCTACTACAGCAGTACCTGCGCTGGTATTATTAAATTAAAATAAAAATTAAATTTCAAGGACGTGGAGAAAGGAACAAAAAAAAAAAGGGTGAAACTTCATTATACACACATACACGAACGTACATTATGATTACACACACGATTTATTACTCAAATCTTCTCCGCGGGTATTAAAGGTTTGCGTGCGAAAACGTAATACATATATTTACATATATATAGTATGAGACACGGTAATCGGAATAATAAACATTACCAGACGATGAAACACCGAGAAAGTACGTATTTCAACCTAAATAAAAGATTACTATTACTATTCTAGATTCTGGGCCCAGCGATGAATGGTTTTAGCTGTGTTATCCGACGTGTGCTTTTAGATACTGAGCGAAGCGAGGAATGTATCGATTTACTATATGATGTGATCTGTAAACGATGTTTCCACCGTAAATCTTAGTCCAGTCATAAACTCCATAGGAACTTTCTTGTAGCATTTTCGGTATTTCTTAGTTTTTTTTAATAATTTGGAAAACAAAAAAAAAAAAAAAACAGGAAAATATACTGTTTCACAATATTCGGTTTTCTATTTTTTAACGTCACAGAATACATATATATATATTCGCCTTTTATCGACGTAGTCAAATTTTCAAAAAATTCTGGCGATTTTTGATAAGTCATAAGCATTTGACATTTTTCAATATATTTTTTTTTTTTTATTTGGTTTAATATGGATAAAATTGTTTTTCACTCAATAACTCTTTAAACAACTTTGTATCCCACCTACGCGACTACAAGAGTGACATACCTAACAGCAAAATCAGCTCTTTATTTTGCTTATTCAACTGTTGATATTTGGCCGAAGTACTCGAGGTAAGTTGGGTTTTTCTAATTTACTCCCCCCCCTCGTTTTATGTGAGCCCGTCGAAAAACTCTCGAATTCTTATTTTGATCAATAAGACCAATATTTTTTATATTCGGCTATAATATTGCCAGTGATTTTATTTTCAGTGCACATATACACACGATTTTATCGGTATTTTCTAGTTTTTTTACTAAATATTGTTTAAATCTCAAGAAGGCGGGTGGGCGGGTACTCCGAAAAAAAAGCAACGCATATATTGTTGAGGATAACCGCATGCGCGCGTGCAAAATAGAACGCCTCACAAATGAGTCCCGCAGCGTGCGACGCACACGTAGTATTTTCTATTATTTGTGTGTTATTTATGGTTGTTTTCTGTTTTTATATATATATATATATATATATGTACCTATAAAAAAGGTACCAATGTATGTACAGGTAATCCAATAATATAAAGACGGTCGGGGGCGGATGCAGACAATGCCGCGATATCCCTGCAGTGTTCTCCAAATCAGCTTATTTCGATTCGATGCCGCGCGCGCGTTTAGCACCGATCCCATTCAGGTTTCTCTAATATTATACTTACCGCGGGGCGGCGGGTCACGATCCACCGGAGCCTAATGATCGGTTTCGGATTCTCTGCGCACCGATGAAATCGGATAGGACCGCCGCCGTCGCCACAGTCATTGAGTCATACGCACGTAATTTCTTTTCTTCTTTTTTTTTTTTTTTTTTTTTTTTAACTGATTTTTTTTCTTCATTGTACACAAATTCGTAGTGATGTGTAGTGGTAGTAGTAGGAGGAGGTGAGGGCGACGGCGGACGGCGAAGAGGAGGCTGCCGCCGTCGTCGTCGCTGCTGCGGCTGCTGCTGCCGTGTTGTCGGGACACAAAAGAACATCCGGTGGACACCACAGGAAATCGGGTAGCGTGTCATGACTGTATGCGCCTCGGGCGGCGTTCGCACAACACTCGTCGCCGTCGGCGGTACGGATCCGACGTCGTCCGAAACACACGCCGTTTTGTATTATTTTCGTATTATTTATGCTGTATTATACTGCCGTTTCCGTCTTGAAAGTCTTTCCGGTTCACGCGTCGACGAAACCCATAACGCGGTGCCGCGTGCTGCGGATTTGCATTCCCTTTACTACTGTTGCCACCGAATCGTAATAATGATATTGTAAACTACGCGGAATTTCGTTTTTCCGAAAGATCCGAGAAATTACTGTTCGGTTGCGGTGCGCCGTGCGGCCCTTTGTGCGGGCTAACTCGCTCGCGGAGGGATTCGGTTCTTTTTCCCGCTAATAATCCTTTCGTTAAATCGCGCACGGCCCATTACAATCGTAACGCACGTACCGTTTGTGCACGCGGGGTAATCGTACGGACGAAAATCGCATAATAAACCCCCGCATTATAAACGCCGCGTACCTGCGTTTAAACGGCTGCGATATAACGCGCGCGCACACGAACAGCCGGTACACAGTCCGCTGCGGTATAGTCCCGCGGGCGCGCGCGCGAACGGTGCCTAAGTCCGGCCCGAAAAGGTACCTACCTAATATACCTATATAGGTACCTATACCTATATTGTCATCGGCGGTGACGAATAAGGGAAAGGCGCGTCGGGGGGGGGGGGGGGCCGGGGGGGGGGGGGGGGGGGGGCCGGGGGNGGTGGCCGAGTGGGGGAGGGGGGAGGTGCCAGGTGGTGCGTTGTATATACACAGGTGTTTTGTCATATTTAGGAACGCATTAATAACATTCTACGGAGGAGCCGCCGCCGCCGCCGCCGCCGCCGCCGTAGCGGCACAAAGGAGGCGGAGCGGCGGCGACGGTGACGGCGGTAGTTCCATCCGGTGCACGGACGGTTCGGTTCAGTTGGTTATTTCACTCACGACCCGCAACATCGCAGCACGGCCGCGAGGTTCCGCGCGCGCATATTGTAGGTACACACACACGTCGTCCTATTGTATGTTTTCCAAACGGCTCGCGGTATATAATTTTCCGAAACGCGGTATTATTATCAATTAACATCGATCGCATCGCGTGTCTTATAAGTGGTCGGCAGAATAATATTTGGATAAGTGCGACGGTTTAGATCCCCGTATACTATTCGGTTATCGTCATGGACGAGGCTCAAACGGTTGTTCCGTAGGTAACCGCTAACACGGACTTTGATGTTCCACCAACACTACCACAACGGCAAGGGGTAAGTTATTACGTCAAATAATAATTATCACTGTTAATGTACGATCGTCGCGAAAATGTTCCGCCGAACGGTTTTCGGAGTTTAATTAGCGAACAACAAACGTCCGTGGGTAATAATAATTACGATTTAAAGTCGACGACTCCTCGTGTCGCACCTACAATATGTATTGATATTATCATAAATTATGTATTATTTACGCGGCACACGGTCGTGCATATTATACGCACGTTGCCTACCACCTACTAAAATACGATAATGCCTGCTGTTGTTTCACGCGCATGTTTACGCATTTAATGTGTCGTACGTTATTTTGATGGTCTGAACGTGCGGCAGGAACAGGCCGCCGCATGCTGCGGCCTGTTTGGGTTTGGAAAATATATTTTGTGCTCGGAACACATTTTCAAACGCAGGTTTCGACGTGTTTATTGCGCGACACGGCGATGGTATGTCGTCTGTCTGATTCGTTTTTTTTTTTTCTGTTTGTCAACGCGTTCGTTTTTTAAACAATATAGGTAGAGGTAGGACGTTTTTCGCGTCGCGTATGTTTGCAATTCGCTTATATCAGCTATATATTGTAATATTACCGTATAGCTTACCCAATATTTGGTTAACGTACGTTATTATAATAATAACAATACTATATAGTGTCGTTTTTTTTTTTTTTTTGCATCGATTAAATGTTGTATTTATTTTGGCGCCTTGATATCGTTATTTATATAGGTACGCAATGTGCACGTACAGTGGCGGTCGAATGGTTTTTTTCACGGTGATTGGGGAGGGGATGACAAATAGGAGCAACTAGGGGGGTGTCAGAGGGTCTTTAGCACCCCCGAAACTACCCGATAAGTCGTTTTATAGTATAGACTAAATATGTTATCCGTGCAATTTATAATTAATAATAAGCAGACCAAAATACGCGTGTGAAAAATAAAGTCAGAAAAGTTTTGTTATGTTTTTACCTAAAAAAATTGCAAGTAAAATATGTTGTCACTAATTGTAAGTGTCGTGTAAAGTGAACTGTGGGGGTATTGTCTCTATATATGATGGGTCTGTGGTGTGTCTATAATTTTAGCACCCTCAATATCTAGTTGCGTCCATAGGAATAAGACCAATTGTTTAACGTTTTTCGATAAATTTATATAGATAACATATTATAAAATATTAAAAGGAAAAAAATATCACGGAGAGAAGGTATCCTTACCCCTCGTTTGATCGCCCCTCCCTTGTACGTATCATCCGCAATCAGTGCTGGTTAAATTCGGCAAATTCGTGAAGTTCATAATAATCATCGATGCCGCTATAGTATTTAGTATTTACAGACATTTGGAGAAAAAAAACGCGTTTTCCCAAGATTTTGACGTAATGAAAGTATCTATATTATACGGGAAAGTAAAAAATATAATATAAACGTATTGTCATAAAAAAATTATTAATAGGTTGATTACTTGAAAAACGTACGGTGTTTTAAATTAATTAATTTACATTCACTATAGATATACTTACCTAATTGTCTATATACGGAGCTAATGAAGCTAATAAGCGTTAATGAAATCGTTATTTTTTTTCGTTTATAATATTAAGTACATCAGTATATAATAATATAACGGGTACATCGCAATCGCGTAATATTTTTAAATTAATATGCATTAAATAATAATTAGTCGTTATCATCGTTAAAGGATAGAAACCATTCGTTTTTCTCTAGATAATAATATTAATAATGTGATTTGTGTTTTTTTTTTTTCTGTAAAGATTTAACCGCTTGTACACTCGCCATTCGTAATATGTTAACGTAGTCTAAATGTTGATACCGATTTCACGGAATGAAAAAAAAATTTTAATGGTCTGTATGTTTCAATTGGTTTGAACTAGTTTATTGCGTAATTTTACATCGGAATAATATAATATTATAATGCAATTTTCTGATTTTTCGCAGTTTCCGTTGAATTTATCTTATTATAAATATTATAATTAGGTAATAGGTAATGTTATTATTTGCGCTGGTCCAATTCGCAAGGCTAGTGGGACCCAAGTTTATCAGTTTTTTTTAGAAATTTTAATATTATTGGTATCTGTGTATAATTATTCGTTAACCGTTTTAATAATATCAAATATAATAATATATAATATATTGACTTCCCATATTAAGTGTAATATTTAATGCACTAATGCAATTATAAAACTACGTCTTATTAGTTCAAAATTGAATCCATGAATAAATTACATACCTAATGGTTTTACGGTAAATAGTATGATATTATGTTGCAGATATTATATTACATTGTGTATAATATGATCGACTACATTGTACAATAATTAGGTACCTATACGGCTATACCGTTTTCATTTTTTCCGGTGAACGTATGCAAACAATTTTGATTTATTCGTAGGTAATACTCTTTTTTAATATATAATTTTAATACAATATGTATCTATACCTTTTAGGGCATTTTTTAATGTTTCCCGTGTCCAAATGGACACATAGTAAAGAATAAGAGTTTGCTTATTGTATATGTCCACTAGAAAATAAATGGTAAATGGATTGAATGTAAATGGATTGCATACTTTGTAACGATATAAAATATTTTATGTTTGATATGTTGAAAATATTTTCACTGATGAGGGGAGGGGTAACTGGGGAAACTCCATAAGTTAAGAGAAAGGTCTGCTCGTGAAGTTTATTTTAGGAAGGATAGTGAATACGCAGTGGGCATTTATTAAAAAAATACCCTGATACCACTTTCCAGCCGCCACCGATTATATATAATAAATTATACAAATGTTTAATACAAAAATGGAAACGAGAAAAAAATGTTAAAATATGCGCAAATAGGAACGCACTATTAACATATTAATATATTATAGGCGATAATGTTTATACAATTTTAGTTTTATTTTTCGTTGGCATAGGTCATAGTAATAAAATCATATAATCAATAGATCTGTAAATTTTTAAATATATTAAGTGTTAGAATATAAATTACCTTCTTACCTTATTGTTCAAGAAATGTAATTAATTCCTACGTAACGGTAACGTCTAGTGTTAATTTGTTTTTTTTAAGTACCTACCTGGGTATATAGCAGTAATATAACTAATATTATAATATCAGAAAAAATAAAAAATAAATTAAGCTAGTTTGTGTTATCATTTTCCGTTGCTAATGGTTACCATATTATAGTCGAGTTGTGCTTTTAATGACGTCATATTATCCAAGTACGAGGTTAGGAAGGTAGAAAATTTGTGAACAGCATTTAATATTGATTTAGTTTTCATATATAACTCCAATGGTGGATTAAGTAATTTGCCGTCTACAACACCCCCTTGTCTGCTTGTAGGTAAACTATATATAATCGGATAATCAGAATCGTTTTTAAAACGTATTTCATTAAAATTTCCCAATTTTATATTATGAAAATGTTGTCGTTTTGACTAGATTGGCATTTTTTTTATTATTTACATTTGAGTTTTATTCAGTGCATTGACATTTTTTAATATTACTATCGTTATATAGGTACAATAAATCTCCACGAATGGTTCAGGTATACGTAGGTAGGTACTTTTTTTTTTGTGAATGTATTGCGGTGCTACGAGGAGGTGCTTCGCCCTTGCAAGCAGTCCTTCCCTTCGTATCCGCATCGCATCGTTTATTAAGAAAAAAAACAATTTTTTAAAATTGGTTTATAACAGATGAAGGGCTCTGTCCCTCTTTGTTTCGGCTTCGGCGCACATTATACTTAACGCCCAATGTTTTGTCTTTCGCGTAGGTAGTTACTATATTTTTACATAAAATAATATCAAAAAAATATATTTTCAACACGACCATAGTTTTTAAAATATTAAGTTAAGCAAAAAAATAACCCACATGTGCAAAGTTTTCAATAATATTATAATAATAGTTGTAAATGCCTGCGCATATTGCAGTATACGGTACATTTAATTTTTAGTATAGGTATTTTAATTAGATATAACCGATATAAAAACATCGCCTACTTTATGACATGTATTATTTTGTTTTACAAATTGTTCATACTTTTGAAAAATATTAATTTATTCATAATGCGAGATAATACAGAAGTCAAAACTATTTTCTCACTGCTCTATTGTTTGGTAGATGATACCTAATAATACGAAGTTGATAATTACCGTATTTTTTTTTTTACTTTTTATTGTCTTATTAAAAAAAGTAATAATGTCGCCTAACTGTAATAATTGACTAACCCTAATTGTATGTAGCTGCGGCCTACCTACCTATTTAGTTATCGATTATCGTATGTAAAACTAATCACAAAGCAATTGCATGTAAGTATACTCGTTCTTACTACCTATACATATAATGCGCGTAGACCTGTGGCGTGCCCAGGAATTTAAATTAGAGGGGATATAGTAAATAATAATCATGATTCATGAATAAATCGTAGATTTTTATATTGTGTGATACCTAACCCGATAATGAGGATTTAAAAGGCGGATCCAAAAAAGCCAATTTTTATTCAATAAATTAAACTATTCATTTCGGTTAACTTGGCCGAAATATTTATATTTTCGGGATAAGAGGAGGGATAGGGAGTGAAGGGATAGTATAAGACCATTTTTCTCCACGTTGTGTATATAGTCCATGAATATTTTTTGTTTTTATCATATTTAATAATCAAAAACATTGGTGTAAAAGCTAGAAAACTTAATTTAGTTAAAACACATAAAACAAATCGCGATTTAATAGAGAAAAAAAACATTATTCTGACCTAACCGTTAATATTATTTCCGTTTCAATTAGCTCCCAAACACAGATGTACCTATTAAGTCGGCTCTCTGTAAGATTATTTATTGGCTATTGAATTCAAGGTAGTTACTCAACCAAAGGACTTTTAAATTAAATCTTGCTTTTGTTACAAACAAAATTGTCATTTATTTTGAAAAGTTAAAAATAATAAACAATTCGTTTGAAAAAAAAAAAAAAATTGAATGCGGGGTTGGATTTAACTACCGTCACCCTTCGATATAGTATCGAATAAATTGGCATTTATTTTGTAAGTAGGTACCTACCAACATTAGTTACCGAAAATCCAGGTTTAAACATTGTTCGAAACGATTGGAATGTCTGAGAAAAAAATTGTACAAATAATAATTACATAGTTGGTCGGTAGGTAGGTATAGTGCATTTGGTATGAAATGATTTCTACAATATTCTGTGCATGCGGTGCCGAACGTATACTTACAGAAGACATTACGGACAAAATGGGAAGTAAACCGTTATTATATTATTGTCAGTCTCTAACGATTCATGACTTATGATCCCATAGGTTTACCGTGTGAAATCTAAAGAACAATGATAATGTGTATATTATAGGATCTTGACCTACCTGGAAGTTACAAAGACCACCTTCGCTACCTACATTATTTTTTTGCATCGAAATAGTTTGTAAAGAAAATAAACAGAGCAAAAAACCATATGTAACCTTATGTTACCTTAAAAAAAAAAAAAAAATGAAAATACAATTCCATAATAATGATGAAATATTTTTATTTTTTTTTGTAGCGATGCAACTATTATACAACATTGTATTAGTATAAGATATAATGATAATATAATATATATTTTTTAGCTACCCGCAGTGTATAAAATATATTTTAGAAAATCTGTATTAAAGGTATCAAACAAGAATTCAAAACGATTTTTTTGAAAAATTATATTATGTTATAGATTCTATCACGTGTTAAATATAAATGTCTCGAGAGTGACACGTTATTTTATATAGGTATTCGCCTATTTAGAACATTTAACTGCTTATTTTTTTATTAGATAATAAGTATTTTAATTAATACAACTTAATTATTCAATTGATTCTTTAGTTTTTAATTCGTTAAAATTTAAAATAAAAAAAAAATAATAAGATTACTCCGAGACATTCAAAATATAATAGAACACCTACGTGTAATATTGACTCTATTGTCTAAAAAAAAAAAATATTATTTTTTATGTATTTTTATCAATAATGGTCGTTGTCTATTACGCAACATGAGTAATACAATTTTATCGCACTTAATCGCTGATTTATATGAAATTATTACATTTGCACATTTTCTTTAAAGTCATGTAAGAAGGACAATTGGAACACTGATATTTATATGTACTTCTGGATATTTTTTTAAGATTTTCGTTAACAATCTTTACGGATTATACTAACAAGAAGTAATTTACATATTTTATCGTTATTTCATTTTTTGCATTTATAATATGTGTACACGTGCTTTTTTGGATTATATAATCATAATTGAATATTAATAAATACACACCATACATTTTATTGGATATTTCAATGGAAATTATGCGTTACTACCACGAACAAAATTGTCTCAACACCTTAACAAGAAATTGTTTAGTGATTATTCACTATATTCCAACTCCTCCCCTTAAACAAGTTTCACAAGAAGATATATCAAACCTTCCCTTAACTTCTGGACTATTCCACACTACTACTCTCGGTAATGGGCCACCAATGAGAGTATTTCCCATGTATAATATAAAATGCTGTCACTAAATTTACTAATCCAATCATTTATCATTTATTTTCTAATGGATACACAGTAAGAAAAATCTTACTATACATATACTGGGTGTCCAATGGTAATTCATCCGTATATTATGTACATTTGAACACGGAAAATCTCCCTAAAAATTATCCTGTCTGGAGCGTCAATGATCCAGCAAAATTGCAGGCGATATTTCTTAAAAAATAATAAATTACCATTTAATAATAATAAAGCATATTATTCATCGTACGATACACAATATTTGTAATTTTTTATTTTACTGCATAGTTTTATTATTTTTACTGTATATTTTAATAATTATTAGTGCATAGGTATAATACAAATCCGTGTTCTAGTCATGGCATTATAAATTATGTGGTCGCATTTGTTGTCGGTCGGTCTTAAAGTCCTAATAAATTCGTTGCATCTGCAGCAGATGTTATATATTTTTCTAATAAATAATAATTTATTCAATCTTGTTATTTACCAAACCCAAAAATACTTCGCTTTTAGGATAATAAATATTAACTAGGTTGCAACAATATAATATATAGGTCTCAGACCTAAATGTCCGTATTTGTATTTTTTTTTTTAAATATTATTGGTTATATTCGTATAATTATTTATTCCCGTATAGTTTTCATTTACAATATATGCGATTTTTATTATTATTATTTTTTTTAAACCGTAATAATTTATTGTAAAAAAAAAAACAATAATAATACAATTTTACTGTTGTTTTAACGTGCCTGTCATTTTCAATTCTCACGTTCGGCACCGTAAATCGTCGTTTTTTCTCTTTTATAAAATGTTTTTTTTTTTTTTGGGGGGCTTGCATTTGTATAGGTAGGTATATATTATTATATTTTCTCCGAGATATTTATTTATTCCCAACCTTCCGGCAGTGTATATATATATATATATATATATATATATATATATCTATATATATGTATACATAATATATGTCGTTAAATATTTACAAGCACCGGGCGATCGTATTCGGATGTTCGACGTTAAAATATAACTGTCCGATAAAAAAAAATATTCGAACGGCACTTAATAAAAAAACACGTCTCGGGGGTTTTATTTGTATTTTATTTATCTTTTCGTTTATTTAATTTGCGCGGCGGACACACGGTTAAAAGTCAAAACGTGTTCGGCGCTTAATGAATATCTCCTAAACAACAATTTAAATATATATAAAAAAAAAAAAAAACAACAGCTATCCACCGTATGGTATAAACCATATAGTCGTATCTGGTAGGTATATATTATTATACATATATATATATATAAATACATACGTACACACGTGTGTGTGTGTGTGTATGTATTGGCTCGTAAATGTATTATTTATGCAAATCTCGACGTCTTCTGGACATTGCCCGTGAACACGGCACAAGACCGCGGCATTATATTTTATTACGGCGCGCGTACAGAATACGATCGTGGGCATAATATTATTATAATATACCGTATAAATATATATATACACGTACCTGAGTAAGTATAATACCCAAGTATACTACGGATATGTATATATTATAATATTGTAGTGATGTTTTCGTTCGGACGACGATCACACGCCCACGTGAAAAATTCCATATTTACTCGCGGTCATTATTCCGGTCGACACATGTTTTATGACTATATATATATGTGTGTGTGTGTGTGTGCGTGTGTGTATATATATAGGTTTAGGCCGGAGGTATATATAAGTACGCGCGCGTGTATTTGCTTTATTGTAATATTATTATTACGATGCTGGCCGGCAACGGATTTAACGACCCATTGAAAAATTGAGAAAAAAAAATAATAATAATAATCATAAACCCGACAATAGGTGTTTTTTTTTTTTTTTTTTTCCCTATGACGTTTCATTCATGTCGATCACGACGCGTGGATGCGATGTGATGGCCACGCGCGCCGGTCATCAAAACGAAAATTTCCAGCGGCCGCGGCGCCGCCGTGTTACCGTTTTAATAGACGATAAGTAGTTTTCGTTTTTTCGCGTTCACGCCGTTTTTTTTTTTTCTGTTTCTATCCTCGGGCCGGCGAATTATCAGAAGATTTCGAACTGATTCGATTTCGTTCGTTCTATTGTAGATTATTTCAGTGGCGAAGGCAGAAATTTTTTTTTTTTTTTGGGGGGGGATGAAGGGTGTTTTTATTTCACGTACATATTCAATTGTGCAACTTTATTTTATGAATACGGCGTGTAGCACGCGTAACACAATATACTTAACAGTTATCTATGCGTAACACATCTTATAGAAATCTGATGCGTAATTGCGTGTTGTAAAAATTATAATTATTGGCATAGATATGGCCAATGGGAGGGGGGGTATTTGAACACCTAAACACCCGCCTCTGTTCGCTACGTCACTAGATTATATTAGAACATATTTTAACAGCCGGTCCGTTTAATGTTTCCGTCGTTTATGTACAATTTTTTTCCCCGTCAAAAAGTTTAAATAATTAGATAAAAACATAATGTTATATTATCCGTATTGTGTACGATTTCGTACTAGGTATATTATTATAATTTCACGGGGGGGGGGGACAACCGAAATCAAATTTACTCGTAGAGATTACATCGCTTATTACGATTCACGCGATCAAATATAATCACCCTGTATATTTGTATGCCTACCGAAAATCTTGAGAGTCGCTGAACCCGCGCGACAAATCTATGCGTCACATAATAATATTATTGTACACAATGCATGTGAACGTCGTAAACGTCACGTCCGATTATTATTATCATATAGGTATACAGCATATCTATGTGTATCTAGTATAGTATAGTAGCTATTATATAGTTATAAGATGCAATTAATTACACGCTATATTTCGTACGCGTTTAGTTATTATTATTATATATTTTTCAAGAGAATAAAATCGCGTACAGAGTGTTTCTGACACGAACGGGGAAACCGTAGTCGTTCAGCAAAATAATAAGTATACTGTAAAGGGATGGCAACTTTATTTTTATATGAGCTTCGATGTATCGGCGTGTCTCTTTCAAACTGTCGGTATGTTGAGAATATCGAAAGTTTAAATAAAAATCGATGTCAAAAACGTCGATGTATTTGGGAGAATATCGATTATTTGAAATATATAGAGGAAATAATTACCCTTTGCCACGGGTACATTAAACAGACATTCAATGCCCATTATCCAACACTCAAACTCTAAATATAATATATATAGACCATCCGGCCTCCAACCTCCAGGAATAATAATTTGTCCAATTGTGTATTATGTAAGATTACGTGGAACATCGAAGATAAGCAAATATCGAAATTAAAATATCGGTAAAGCTTTAACATCACTGCAAAATATCGAAACTAAATCATTGATTATTTTGGCTTCGAACATCGGTGTTTCAAAAGTAATGATGTTTTATTGTCATCCCTAATTGTAGGAAGTGTTTTAATGCCTTTTTTTTTTTTTCAATTTTTTCCATCTCAAAAACCAGCGTTTCGTCGATTAGTTTTTAAGAAATTGTTTCGATTGCAAAAAAAAATAAAAAATTCACATTATATTTCTTACGAAATTTTGCTGCAAAACTTTGTTTTTGAATTTTTTTTAACATTCGGATCGTCCGAATAAAAAAACAAATCGGCGTTCTTTATATAATGTAGATTTGTATTGGGACTGCACAAAAAAAAAAATGCCTATTAAACCTATTTATTGTCATTAACCGTAATCGATAAATTAACACGGTGTTTACATTGTATAAAATAAACAAAACCAGATAAATAATATTTAAAAAATCAATTTTATTTCCCAAAAACTCGTTTCATATACAACCGAAAACGCGGCAATTAAATATGGAAACGACGTCGCGGTATAAATTGTTTCGTATAGAAGAACTGCAGAAATATCATTAGAATATTTAATTCGTACGTTTAAGTGAAATGATTTTGGAAATTAATAGAAAAAAAAAAAAATCCTATACAAATATAAAAAAAACTTCATTCGACTATCCCACGTGATGAGTAAGCGTTTATTACACACTCGTAATATAGACTCCTAATTTATTACAATATCACCCTGTATATTATGACGGGTCTGTTTGAGTGCTCAGGTCGTATTTTTTTTTTTTTATTATTATTTACTCAGGACCGTGTTTATTTATTTTTCAGGTGAGAGATCGTGTGTATATACGAAATCCGTCGTAAAGCGACACTGCCAGCGACTGCGTCGTTATATTATTACGACAATAATAATACTGTAGCGTGCGACTCGCACTGTAATACACCGTAATACATAATTATAATAATGGAAAATCCGGCTTACAACCCGGAGGAGGGCCAGCGGATGGCCAACGAGTGTTTGGCCGCAAGGTTATTGTCCGGGAAAGACAACACGGGCGGCGGAGGCGGCGGCGTCGGTGGTGGCGGCGGCGGTACCGGTATCGGCGGTACCGCGGTGTCCACGATCTACGACCCACGCGCCTATGGCACCACTACCACCACGGCAGCGTCGACGCCCACGCCGGCTACATTCCAACCGACCCGGCCGCAACCCGGCAAGAGGTGTACCTGCTGGCAGCCGCCCTCGGACATACCGCATTTGCATAAGTGCAATTCGCCGCCCAGGACCATGTGCCACACCAACATGTTCGTACTGTACACGTTCCTGTTCTTCACGGCGCTCATTTGCCTGACCACCAGCGTACTGCTTTACATCATCCGGATACAAGGTGAGCACACACACACACACACACACACACACAATATTTTTATACACGCGGTACATACACGTGCAGCACATCTCGAGCGTTTATACAGGGGGGCACGTGTGCGAGGGCGCGCTATTTATAAGCATAATAAATTTCCCGGAGAAACATTATATAATATTATACGATGATAGTCGTATCACGGTGATGTTATATACGTCGTGTGGCAATCGTTTAGTTTTCAAAAGGAACGTTTGGTTTTTTTCTCTCCTCGCTTCGCCGAATTTTCGGTCCGAGGAAAAAACGTAAGTATTTTAACCAGCTGGTCGGGATTTCTTTTCGAAGAACACCGCGGAGCTGCACGTGTACGCGTCACAAACGGCGGGGGCGTAGGAGAGTGTTCTCGCCCGGTGATGGTCACTTCCCGCGCCCACCCGTGCGACGCCCTTATGATATGATAGTAACAATTTAATACACGCGTTTGTTTATAATACCGGCGCAGTGTACGCGTATCCGTCGTCGTATTACAATATAATGTGCTATGTATTAATAATAATATTGTGCATCGTTGGAACACGTGAATGCGCAATGTGCGCAGTGTATTATAATAACAATAATAATAATAATAATTCGATTTGGACACAACAATAGTGAATAGAAGGTAATAGAACGCACGCATAACGCACCACGCACTTCGTATAATAGACGTGCCCGCCTTATATTATTATTATTGTATACCTGCGCAGATCGATCAGATTAGACATGATAGGCACTCGTCGAGATCGAACGCGATACCGAATAATATTGATAGATTATCGTAAAATACATTTCGTGCGTAGGACGCGCTCGCGCTTGTTATTATTATGTACAGGATGGTTCGATTTTTTTTTTTTTATTGTGATCCATATTTTTATCAACAAAGATTTCGAGTAAAATTGATTCCGGGATTTTTTTTTTTTTCCGGTCGTTAAAGAATCGTTTAACGGTCGCGTTTACCCGATTTTCAAACGTTTCACCATTATTTCGTACACCGTAAACTCATACGCGACTTCGAATTTTCGAAACCTTTCCGTTTCATATCTGCAGATCCGAAAGAGCGAATAATTTTCATATGCGTATAATCACTATAATAAAGAGTTGTACGATATGTTGGAACTAGCACCAGTAACAAGTTTTATTGTGGGGCAAAGAATACAATAGTTAGGTCACAGAATTAAAAAGAGGAGATAACGAAACAGAGAAGCTTTGGAATGTAAATCACAAGGAATGAGACTTAAAGGAAGACCTATTAAAAGATGGATCGACGTGGTGGAGGATTAAAAAAACCTAGGAATTTAGGACTGGAGAGAGGCAGCTCAAGACAGAGACAGATGATGTAGCGTAGTAATGGTGGCAAAAACTCTTAAAGAGGTAGGTATGCCAGAAGAAGAAATATAAACACTATGGAATAGGTTTTACAATTTGTGCGTTATAGTTTAGAACATTTTAAAATTTAGACCGTTAGGGATAGGACCCACCCCTACTCTTCCGCGGTTAATAGGTACGTCTTAAATACAGTTGGTAAATATGATATTAGTGTTATGCTTATCAACAAGTATTGGAAAAATGTTTTTTTTTTCAAAGCTATGTTTAAAAAAGAGGAGAGGCGGGGGATTGTCGTTTGAAAAGTCAAAAGTCAATACTCGTTCAAAAAAAGAGTAATATCATGGAAATTTGAAATCAGTATTAGAATAAAGCCTATAAATAAACAATAGTCGATAGTTTAATGATTGAAAAATCACCTCTAATATAGCCTGCATTCGGTACGTGAAGATAACATATATAGGTATACCAAGTGATGCCGTGATTTCAATTGTAGAATAATATTATTATAACTCTATCGATGGAAATAAATTGCCCATAAAACTACGGGTCTTCGGTGGTTTTTTTTTTTTAATTTAATTTTTTTTTTTTTTTATTATTATTATTATTTATTAACCGCTCGCGGAACGCTCAGTTTTACAGTATTCTATAGAGATATTATTATTATTATTATTAATATACAAGCCTCTCTTTGAACGTGTATACTGGCCCCGGAGGCTGCGGCACGTATAGATATTAATTTTCGATGAGCACGTACACGCTATACAATATTATAATATATACGTATGCGCCGAAAAACCAATAGTAACATAATCGTATACGGTATTCCGCTGGTACTACAATAATTATTAATAGGGATATCATCATCGTTCATAAAAAAAAATAATAATATGATGATGATGATGAACTCTTCGAAACCTATATGACGCGAAAGTTAGTATAGGTAGTATCCATCTATGTAGGTAGGTACGTTGATTAAAATCGAAAAAAAAAAAATCAAAATATCGTCAATATATTTTTATTATCGAACGATGTTACCTCACCACAGTTGCTTAACCACAGTTAATACCGAAATCGATAAAATATATATTTTTTTTCTTTTTTTTTTTTCTAAAGCCGACATAATTCGCATCACCATGGGGGGCAACTGTTTTTGTGTGTGGGAAGTTGGTAAAATTATAATATGATATTATATAGTAGCCGTAGTTTTATAATTAACGTCTGCAATGCGCAACGATAAACGATTCTGAGCAAAGTTCGATTAAACACATTTCGATAAATTCGTATTAAAATATCTATTCAAATTTGTTATCTTCTATACAAAATTAATGACTATTTTCCGTGTTTTTAACGAATTTATAAACATAAATATTCAAACTTGAGACGCTGATCAAAATAAATTACAATGTTATTTTTGTTAAAAAATAAAATACAATTTCAGCATATTTTGAAAATTATACTACATTTATAAAGTTTTATAATACAATACTGTGGAAATGTCAAGCCCCCGTACAATTATTATTCTTTACCGAATTCGGCACTACGAAAAAACATAATCGAAATTTACCGAAACCGAAAGTGCGTACATGACATACATGAACAATAAAAAAATGATCTTCCCAATGCGTCAATTAGACACAATTTGTCTACCTAAAACAACCCCTGAAAAGTTTATCGTAACGAGATTTCTGGTCGGAAACTTGTGTATATACGAAAAAAAAATGTACGCATATAGTAAAACTAAAGGGCATAATATTTCGATACGCTGCACAGAATTAAAAATATATTATTAATTTGTACTTTTATGTTATTATTACAGTTCCACACAAAGAAAAATTCCCGTTAGTAGTGGAAGGAGAATTTCAGATTACGAATATTCCGTACACGATAGGCTTTGTAAATAGAAATTCTTCAGAATTTTTAGCTCTCAGCGCCAATATCACGATTCAGGTAAATAGCACCAAAATATATTAAGTTTTAATGTACATTTTTTTTTTTTTAAATAAAATTATTATCAAGTTTATACATTGAGAGCATGGTACACATGCATTTGTTGTTTCTGTCTTACAAACACATAGTATACACGTAGTATTTGCGTTTTTTCAAAAAGTTTTAGCGAACTAAAAAAACGTTGAAAAAGTCGTTATTAATAAACGGTAAATTGACTGTTATGTCCGGATAAAATGGAAAAAACGCAACGTCTTGCCCTACGAAATATTGTTTTATTTTGATTTTATAATAAGTGTTTTTACTGTAAAACCAAAACTAAGCGAGTTCTGTGTAATCTGCGTATGAATGTTTCAACTATATCGTGCGATTGTAAGATGGAAACAACAAATATATGTGTACTGCCCTCTTAAATTGTATAAGCTATTGTATATTTAATTTATGTGCGTCGTTTACATAATTATAGTTGGACGACACGTTCAAAAACAGCGAATTATCGCCGTGGTACGACGGCTGCGAAGTGACCGACTTGAGTCCCGGTCAGGCGAAAGGTGTCCAAGTACAGTGCGAGATCAAATTCTCGCAGGAACCCGAGTCGGCGATCGGCATCGGACAGATCGGTATCGCGTTTCTCAAAACCCTTCGCATACAACACGGACACACTTGGCTTGGCAACTATAGCGTGGACGTACAGTCGATCGGATTCCAGAGTAAATGCTTATTTACTTACCTATCATTCTGTATACGTATATTATATGGCGTAGGCAGTAGCGTGCCCAGAGGGAGAGGAGATTAGAGGTTATATCCTCCCCATTGGCTTAAAAATATAATAAAATATGAGTAACCTTATATCGAAACCTATACATTTCGGCCGAATTCCGAGAGAAAGCTTGATGTATTGATTAGAAATTGGCTTTTTTTTAGGATCCGACTTTTAAATTACCAATTCCCATAGTCGAGTTGGGTAGAGAAGACGATTTTACTCTTTTTTCACGATTTTTATTTGTTACATTCCCTCCCATTGGAAATTCTTAGGCACGTCACTGGGCATAGCCATCATGTAGTCAAATCGGACATTTTACTAAATACCTATAGGCAAAATAGTCAAAGAATTTAAGTTGTATGCGATTTTACTATTCTCTAAGGCGTTTAACTAAATGCCTATTTCAAGTCGAGCGAATAATACAAATGAAAGGTTTATAATATATTATTTTGAAAATTAAACTCTGTAAGCATAGCTTGTATAATCTATGTTTAAAATTAGAATAATTTTGGTTTAAAAAATATACTTACGCAGTTAAAGTTTGTAACTGTAATATAGCTTTTTATATTAGTAATATACACGAAATGAAAAATAGTTCATATATAACTACGTATTTTACATAATTTTAAATAGAATAGCAATAAATAAATAAATAAATAATTAGAAATGATAGTTTAATTTTTAAAATAATATAAAAATGTTTCATTTGCCCGACTTGAAATAGGCATTTTGTTAAACGTCTAGACATGCGAATAGTAAAATTGCATGCAAATTAAATTCTTTGATTATGAGTATTTGCTTAGACATTTAGTAAAATGTCTGATTTGTCTGTATGCCTATGGCTTATTTTATGTATTGCCAGTGGCGTAACCCCAATTCAAAATCCTGGCTACTGCCACTTGAATACGATTTCAATTCTAATAATATTGGCGTGTTCGATAAAACAGTGAGTGGCGAATTGGGAGTATGGACAGATTGGTCCGAGTGGAGCGGCTGCGAAGATCCCGGAGACTACGTGGCCACGAGGACGAGAAAATGTTTGACTCGCGACACCCGAGAACCGACCAGTGTGGACCGGTGTCTGCTCATACCGGGTAACAAGAGCGACTTGGACCTGATGCCCTGTCGGATATATCTGTCACAAAACTCTGACCTCGACGAATATTTCACGGTTCCGCCTCCGATATCCACGTCCACCGCCAAAGAAGTAATCGAACAGACTCCGGCCAACAAAGCTGCAGAAAATGGTAACGAAAAATACTACCGCAAAAAATATAATACGAACTTACTAATTAAATGATTTCATACAAATTTTTTTTAATCTCTTGCAGTAGGCGTAGGTAATGACTAATAATTATTATTGGAAATCAATATTCATGATTCATGTCGCGCATATTGACAAAAAAAAAAAAACGTAGGTGTTAATTTTTAAAAAAACAATTTTATTTTTCATCATTTAATTGCGTTTTACTAAAATCCGTTTCATTATGTGTTTTGCCTCTATTTATTTTGTTCTGGTTACATAAACCAATATATTATAATATTTAGTGTGTTCGTGTATTTACATTTTTTTCGTTTTTAAAATATTTAAGTCTATTATGTCATAGGATATAAACGTGTAATAATTTATACAGCGACAAATTGATTTATTTAATTTTTAATTTTTCTGGGCCTTATGTTATTTCGCTCACTAAGTCTACAATTGAATTGAATTTTAAATAGAATGTAAATTTATTTCGATTTGTCTATGGACAATAATGAAAAGTTTCTATTATTCTACCAATTTTATGATTTCACTCTAATTGACATGTAAACTTTAGTAATAAATAAAAAATTGTATATGATTTCAGTTGAAGACAATTGGATTTGTGACGAATGTAAGGAAGACGAAGTATGTTTGGCTGATCGCGACGAAGGAATTCTGCAGTGTTTACCGAGTTTAGACACAAAAGATTTAACCGGATGCGGCGGTCGTTGTGGTATAAACACTCAATACTGTCAAAATATACACAGAAACGCGTATACGTAAGTCATTGTTTAACTTTTAGAAACATAATTGTTTCGACTATGAATGATTTTATAATAATATGGAAAAACAGTACATTTTTTGAATTCCTACATTCCATCAGAAATTCCATTAAAATTCGTTATTCGGTAGTTGCTACTTAATTACTATTATTATAGAAAATTAATTGGAATATAAAATACTAAATTAAACTGGTTTTCGGGTTAAGATGCAGATGCTATACGCGACTGTGAATTCACTCAAATGCAGTAGGTAGGTAATCATTTTCCAAACTGGTTTTTCGAAATAGGCGTATAACCGATATTATTTCACGAGACAATAGGTAGCCAATATTAAATAAACATTTTTTTTTTTAAATTTTTTTTTCAAATTTATCTGCAGTTATTTATAATATTTTATAATAATATAGTTATGGGCACATGTACATGTTTTATAAATATGTTGTACCTACTTAGTTATCCTGTAGGCCTAAATCACATTTAAATATTTTTCCATTTACAATTTAATTCTAGTACAGTCGTACCTCTAATGTTTAGATATTGTTTATTTATTTAATATTGAAAATTCAATTTGTCTATTTTTTTTCAAGCCGTGTAAACTGGTTTAAATGTCATCTATTGTTTGCTCCTTACTCGATGCTAACTTCTAACCATAAGGTTTTTTTCTTATGTAATTTGATAGTTTTTATTTTTTACTAAATAATAAATCCATGATATTTGAGTAACTACCTATTTAAATCTATTTATTACATACTTGGATTTTTGTGCTAAAAATGAAAGGTGGACCTATCTTAAATAATTTTGAATTATTTGTAATAATAAATGATTTATTATTTTAGTTGTGTGGATACATCATCATGTTCTAAAAACGAGTTTGAATGTGGAAACCGTATGTGTGTGTCAGATAAGGCGAAATGCAATGGTATCTATGATTGTTTAGATCAGTCAGACGAGAGAGATTGTCGTAAGTATAATACATAATATTTTCATAATTAAAAAAAACTATAAATATAAATATTAATTATTTACCATAATAATACATTTCATAATTTTAGCATGTGATCTTGAGACACATTTCAAATGCGGTACCCAGTGTTTACCTAAAACAAAAATATGTGATGGCGTACCTGATTGTTGGAATGGCCACGACGAACTGAATTGCACTCGTGAGTGAATATTTTAAGTTTTCACAAATTATTAATCTCCACAGTTATAAACATTAATTCAGCCACAATAGAAAAAAAATATATTATACGAGCAAAAAAAAAATTTAGATTGTGAAGCCGGTAAATTTGCTTGTAATTCAAATGATCAGTGTGTAAGGTCCGATCGTTTTTGTGATGCATACGCAGACTGTGCAGACAAGTCTGATGAACCGTTAGGATGTGAACGGCCTTGCAGAAGTAATGAGAAAGCTTGCAGGTAGATATTGCATCAACGGAATGATTTTCCACACAAGTTTCTTTGATTTTTTTTGAGCACCTGATTATTTATTTTAGAATTTTCAAATGAATGCGCAGTTTTTTAGCATGTACAAGTATGAACTGTAATCATATTACAGTTCGAATTAGTTCATTACTGCTATTGATTTGTAATCCATATGTTTAGCTTATGTTGTGATTTTCTCAAGTCTATATAATTACAATAATATATTTTCATATTTTAAAATTTTATAACACTAGTTAAAATAATATTTTCATATCTATTGTTTTAATATGCCTACAGTAGAATGTTTAGCTATTTATATAACATATTAATTTAAAAAATTAAAAATTAAATGTATACATAGTGTACTTATGTTTTATTTTAACTATATTTTGTTTTAAAACTTCTAATAATTGGTATTATATTGTTTTGACTTTTGACTTGAAAGTATATTTTAACAAAAACGTTTTTATTCAGTCTTACTTCTACAAGAATAAGTTTGTAGTAGACTTTTGTATATGCTATTATAACATTATTTCTCTGATCAGGGAAATATTATGAGTGCTTGGCCACCTTTAAATTAGTTATTTATTTTAATTTTAGTACCTACCTACTATCTACTTAGAGAAGTTATTTTTAATTCTGAAGGGTACTTTACAAAATAAGGCTCATATTTAATAAAATCATGTGACTCTCCAAAATAAATTCTAACTACACAATTGAAATAAATGCAATTATTTGTATTATTGTAGATAGAAACCCATTACCATGGATATCATAATTTTGCTTTTAATTTTGTGCACGATTTGTACGCATGTTTGCAGATACCTAACTTATTAGTGTTGAATGAGAAGATAGTTAACTAACATTATTTTGAGTGCAATATGTATTGTACAATATGTAATCCATCCTTTTTGATTATATTGCCAAATCATAAACACCCTGCAGACTTATCCCTGAAAATACTTAACAACTCCCTTGCATTATTTATTTATATAACTACAAAAAAGACTACCTACCTATATTCTGCACAATGTAAATCTTACCAATATAAAATAGGTTTTTGTTTTAATTTTGTATACCTATTCTACTAACTGTAAAAATTAATTGATTTTTAAAAAAATTAAAATATAACAAAATTTTATTAAGTAAAAAAATACAATTTTTTTTTTTAGAAATGGCCGGTGTGTAAAAATCAATAAACTTTGTGATGAAATCGAAGACTGCGGAAATGAATTTAACAATAAAACTAATAATTGTTAGTTAATAAAAAAATGATGTATATTGAAATGTTTTATTATATATTATATTGTATTGTATTTGTTGTAATGTTATATGTTCTATATTAGTATATTTATTAAATAATAATAAAAAAAAAATATTTTAAAAATGTGTGAAATTATTTTTTTTAATCAACATTAATTTATTATAATATATTACTTTACACACATTATTTTAAAATTTAAAATTGTATTAATAATTTCAATTTAATCATTATTTTTAGTGTAAATATGTCAAATAGGAAGTATTTGTATTATGAATGGATAATATTGTGTTTGAAAATATTCAATATTTAAAATGTAACAGCCTAACAAATAAAATATTATCTAATCGTATAAAAACTATGACAAACAATTATTGTACCTACTAAAAGACTGTGAATGTTAAATGTAAAAATACTGTTTAATTTGTAAGAAATGTAACTTTATTTTCAATTATTTGAATAAGTATATGCTCATCGTACAATTTTAAATTCCATGTATTGTATTTATACAAACAAATTATGTGTTCCCGAAAAAATAATAAATACAAATTATAGCTTCTATGCTAGGTACACTCAGAATCTAAAAGGCTCAAACACATTAAAATTGGTATTAATTATTCTAAGATAACCAAACTTAACTAAGTAATATAAATTATTATGTAGGATTAGTAAAAAAAAAATTTTTAACTTCTTACACCCCTGAAGGTAAGTAACAAAGGCAAAACTTTTCTATTATACCTAATCTTAATTACCTATAAAATTACCTATTTTAGGAACATTATTATTTATTTTATATTTAAAATAAATCCAGTAAATAATTAGGTAGGTATATATTTTGTCTGAAAACACACAATTTTATCAAATGATATAATTTGAATATGAAATATTCCATTACCTACCTACTTATTTTTTTCTCTTATTATTTGAAAATTATTCAAATGTTAAATTGATATTATCACTTAAATTTAGTTGTATCTGTGTACTATATCATAGGTATATGTCTGTAGAAATTGTTGATCAAAGAATTGTAAAGTTAACCAAGATTAATATGTACCTAATTTTCTATGTGGTTAACACATCTGTATTTTGTACACTATCCATAGTATCTCTATTTTAAAAAATATAGGTGTAACAAAGCATAAAAAACCACCCACCAGGAACGTAGGTAGAGGGGAAGTGGTTCACCCCATTTTGAAATTACTAAAAGAGTTCAATTCTTTTTTCAACTCTCAATTCACTCCTTCTACAAAAATTACCTATATTAATAATCTGTATCTATGCTTCTGCCAGTTTTCACTTGAACTCACCTCACTTCAATAGTCATCCATGTTACATTCTATCTACCAAATAAAGTGTAACTAACATATTCAAATATAAAAATAAATTAAGATGTCAATAATATTTGTTCTTCATAACACAATTTCAAATAAATCATGTCCCATAATAATGGTTAATGATTAAAGTAGACCAGATTTTGTTTTATATAATTCTGTACCTAGTTAATCAATGAAGTCATTCAGTCTATAATGGTATCGTTATTATTATAACGGTAAAATGGAATAATAATTACTGTGCGCATCTTTGTATATTATAGTGCAGTAGTGATCAAACTATAGTTTTATATTAAATCATTTGAACTAAATAGTATAATATTAACAATGATTGGCTGATTCCATTATGGACCAAGAGTTTAAATTTTATTGTAATTATAAAAATATCGATAAGAGACAATATTATACTATTATTTATAGTCGTTTTTATTGTTATTTGTGAACATTTAAAAAACAATGATAAAATAAAATTTATCGAATTTTTAATACAGTTTATGTGCCATGAAAATATGTTTTCGGAAACAATATAACCGGGAAGAACTAAAATAGTTCTGCATGCTGCACAGTTTGTAGTTTTCAAAAATATACCGTTTGTATAATATTTATATATACTTATTTGTTTATGCATAAAATGTATAGGTTATCGAATAAATTATAGGGAACCTCGTAAGAATCTGTAATGTATAAATCTAGAATCCATACCCGTACACAAATCTGGAAGGTAAAATGTTTTAACTTCAACGAAATTATAGTGTTATTAACTACCTAAAACTATAGATAAATACAATTTTATTGAAATTAAACATTGTTAGATAAGTAGGTGCCTATTATATTTATACTGCACTATTATATTATACCTATGCCCCTACATAAAATATCATTTATCGTGTTTCTTATTTGTTAAAGCGGAAATATTATTCGTTAATTTTATATACATTCTTAATTTTGTTGTAGATACCTCAGTGCGTGTAATAGTTAATATTACAATTATATTTTTTAAAATCTTTCTGGCTTATATAGACGTATTTTATACAGTGACTTCTGTAGCGTTATAAAATAGCATATTATGTTATGTCACGTTACGTCCTTTATTAGTTTAACACTTAAATGCCGATCATATAATTTGAATGTTATTATTGTGATTTAGTTTTATAACTATGATTTTTAAACGATACGTATATTATATTCATCGTCACTTAAATTATTGTATGGAACCATGTACACGCGCGTATACCTATTATAAAATATCGTATAATAATTTGTGTAATTAAATATAATCGTATTCGATATAAATATCTATTACGAAAATAACGATAAAATACATATGTAATAGTGAATTATTGTTTTAATGGGTGTCTCCGGCAACTATTATAAAATCGGTTAAATAATAATTATTGCGCAATAATAAACAAATTAATACGGAGTTATGAATAGGTAATATCAAAACTCTATAAAACTCTAATATCATTTCAGTCGCAACTATGTTCTGCGTAGCATTTTCTATTTAATTAAAAATAAAGAAAGTAAAGAAAAATACATTGTTACAGTACCTATTCACTAAAAGTCAAGGCGCAATCGTTTTTCAATAAGAATGGGAGTAGGAAAAGAAAATTATATATTATAATAAAAATGTGATTAAACATTGCCATAATATTCACCATAACGGCCGTTTGGCCACAATCCGAAAACTTACGGTCTCTTCTGGTCTTCGTGTGTGCAAGGTTTCATTTTTTTGGTCTTTAGATTGTCATCGATTTATTATATAGTGTGATCATAATTTTAAGTTACAGGAATTATATTAAATAAAATAGAGAAAACTGGAACGCCGCGTGCCGTACCGTACCATGCCACCATATAAGCGCATAGTGTTCCACTACTATCCCCTTGCCTAAATTAAAAAGTGGAATATCTCGTCAAAGGATCGACGGAATTCGAAAATGTCAACACCAAAATTTATTTGAATTAATACTCCATCTATCTGTGCATTTTGATTACAGGTTACCATTTAAATTTCAAAAGTTGACCCCCGATTCCCTCCCTCCAAAGGGCGTCTAAAAATGTCAAGCTCACATATAATTTTAAAAGATTACACTATTTAGTAAAAATTTTTCACTATACATTATTCTTTATTTTGTGTATTTATTAGAAACAATTTCTGTAACATAAAATTTTGATCACTCTGTATGCATATCACATATCTTACCCCCACCTATGTTAACACTGATAACACTCAACGTCATTTTAAAGTAAATCACCTTTACATTTTTTGAACATTTTTTTATTAAAATTGTATAGAAAATTATTTTGATATTTGGGTAAAAATACTATTTTCCCATCTAATATAGGCAATTTTAGTATTTCTTACCTAAGTAATAAGTGATATAGCTGACTGCATACTATGTAAATTTGAATACTAGCCCTAAGTGTAAATTAAATAAATAAATATTAAATTATATTATTATTAGTGGGTTAACTAATTGAGATCATTGTTTTTGCGCTTAAAAACAATTAGATAAGTATTACATAACATTCACAATTCACAACATCACAACAACAAAATAAGTAAATATTTCACTTTCCTGTGAAACTTCAAACAATGATATTATTATTACATTAAAAAAATAATTTAAAACTCACTTTGCTATTCTGGATCTTTAATGAATGCTTCAATTAGTTTCAGTATCTAAAAGTAACATTTTTTTTGTAAAAAACTTTCTCGGCTCCACAATTTTGGTTTCTATTACAAAAAAATCTCCAGAATAAGTCACTAAGTCTTTAATAACATTTTCATGGCAAAACAAGTACAAGGGTGAAACATAAAAATAATGAAAAAAGAAGTAGGTATAGGAATATGGAGAAAACTGAATTGAGAAAATAAAAAGCTGGATAATTATTTTCGAAGCCATTTATTTGTTTTAAGTCGGATATCGCTTTCTTTTTGAGTTTGGCCTTTTTTGTATTTTAATAAATACAATTACTGAATACACTAAGTACCAAAAGGTAAGAGCAAAATATACTAGTGATATTGTACATTGGAAGATAATAATAATTAATAATATTAAAAAATAACACTGACCAACAAAATTTTTGTGGTCAGGATATTGATAGTAAATGGAGAATAATAGTTTTATATGCAATTTCGCCGCTGATTCCGAATCTGATCTCAGGTTTGTTAGACTTGCCTTTTTTTTTTTTTAATATGATCAATGATTCTTAAAAAAAACAAAAATTTTGTATTTTAAATTCTAATAAAAATGTATATATATAAATGTATTGTATTATTAAAGAGTTGTGCACAATTTGGAACTGATTTGTTAAGTTGAACTTGTTTTATCATAGATACCCGTATAGCACAGGGATTGCACTACAAAAATTAATAACAATGTTTTTTTTTCATCCGTGTTACCCATGGTAACCCATAAATTATAAAAAATAATTAGTTTTTTTTTTTTTATAATAAAAATACCTAAAAACTGAATTTTAGAGAATGGTATTTAAAAGTGGTGGATTTCAGTAGCTATAAAAATATTCTCCGAACCACGTGGAACAACTTCCATAGCGATCGAATAGTGTGGTATACATGAAATATGAATACATATAGGAAATAGGACAAACGACATAAATTCGTTTTTGTGTATGTATATAGAATATTATTAAATTATTATCTCAAAAATACGAGCCAATTTGAAGAAATTAGTTACATATTTTAATTCAGCATTCTCAAATTAAATAATATTTATTCGAAAAACCTTGGCAGCAATTTTAGATTCTGAACGGAGCAAGGAATGTATTCATTTTACATGATGTTTATTTTTTATTTTTTTTTCTGTGGACAACTTTTCTACCAGCAATTTTTAAGTTGAGCACTTTTTCTGAAAGTAAATCTGACTGGATGGTATTTTAGGAAAGTCGTTTTTATTTTCCCCAGCTGTTTTCATAATAAATGGGAAACAACGGGAAAATAGGTACAATAATTAAAATATTAAATAAATATTATTAAATAAAATATATAATGCATATTATGTAATTATTTTACCATAATATGACATATATATTGTTATCAAAGCAACACTATTAACCGAATCCGCTCAGAATCGTTTTTCGTTAGAAATGGTTAATCGTTGAATACAGGTATACATA